CAATAGAAGAACACAGTCTGCTGAACATAATACTACACAAACATTAGATGTTGCCATGGTTTAATTGCACATAACATGTAAACATTCACAGTGCAGGGAGGAAAAAGTATGTGAGGCCCTAGATTAATGACTTCTCCTAGAGCTAATTGGAGGCAGGAGTGAGCCAACCTTGACTCCAATCAGTGTGATGATATTGGATGTGTTGCTGACAGCTGTCCTGCCCTTAAAAAACACACACCTGTTTTGGGTTTACTGGTTTCAAGAAGCACTGTCTGATGTGAACCATGCCTTGCAGAAAAGAGCTCTCAGAAGACCTACGATCAAGAATTGTTGACTTGCATGACGCTGGAAAGGGTTACAAAAGTATCTCCAAAAGCCTTGATGTTCATGTGTCCACGGTAAGACCGACTGTCTACAAATGGAGAAAGTTTAGCACTGTTGCTACTCTCCCTAGGCGTGGTCGTCCTGTAAAAATGACTGCAAGAGCACAGCGCAGAATGCTGCATGAGGTAAAGAAGGATCCCAGAGTGTCAGCTAAAGACCTACAGAAATCTCTGGCACATGCTAACATTTTTGTTGACACATCTACAATAAGGAAAACATTAAACAAGAATGGAGTACATGGGAGGACACCACGGAGGAAGCCATTGCTGTCCAAAAAGAATATTGCAGCACGTTTGAAGTTTGCAAAAGAGCACCTGGATGTTCCACAGCACTACTGGCAAAATATACTGTGGACAGATGAAACCAAGATTGAGTTGTTTGGGAAGAACACACAACACTATGTGTGGAGAAAAAAAGGCACAGCACACCAACATCAAAACCTCATCCCCACTGTAAAACATGGCGGAGGGAGCATCATGGTTTGGGGCTGCTTTGCTGCCTCAGGGCCTGGACGGATTGTTGTCATTGATGGGAAAATGAACTCCAGAGTTTATCAAGACATTTTGCAGGAAAACGTACGACCATCTGTCCGCCAACTGAAGCTCCGCAGAGGATGGGTGATGCAACAGGACAATGATCCAAAGCATACAAGTAATTCAACAAAACAATGGCTGCAACAGCACAGAATACGCCTTCTGGAGTGGCCCAGTCAGAGTCCTGACCTCAACCCGATTGAAATACTGTGGCATGACCTTAAGAGAGCGATTCACACCAGACACCCCAAGAATATTGCTACACTGAAACAGTTTTGTGAAGAGGAGTGGTCCAAAATTACTCCAGATCGTTGTGCAGGTCTGATCTGCAACTACAGGAAATGTTTAGTTGAGGTTATTGCTGCCAAAGGACGGTCAACCAGTTATTAAGTCCAAAGGTTCACATACTTTTTCCTCCCTGCACTGTGAATGTTTACATGTTATGTGCAATTAAACCATGGCAACATCTAATGTTTGTGTAGTATTATGTTCAGCAGACTGTGTTCTTCTATTGTTGTGACTTAGATGACGTTCAGAGCACATTTTATGCCCAATTCATGCAAAGCTCCACGTAATCCCAAGGGGTTCACATACTTTTTCTTGCAACTGTATACCTAAGTATGACTTGTTTAAGAGGTTCTAAAGGCAGAACGTTTTTTACCTTAATGCATTCAATGGAAATGTGATTTTCTGCTTGTGTGATTGGCTTTTTGATTTTCCCAGAAACCTGCACTAAGATACAAGTCATATTTTGGGCATCCCCTGCAACAAAATATTTTTTTTCTGGTGAGATACTCCCAAAGGTAAATCACGTCTTAAGGGATGCGGTCGCTGCTATATTCCTCATTAGAAGCCTGCAGTGCAGCAGCTGATTGATAATTATAAAATACCTTCCATGCACATTTATTTTGCACGTGGGCACAGACAAACAAACAATTATTTCTTCAGAATAACAAAAGGTAGGAATCTTCAACAAAGCTTGTTAAAATTCCTGCAATGTATATAGATCACCCAGAGGGAAATGTTTTCTTTCTCAACAAAAGTGGAGTTAATCTTTAAAGCTGAACTCCAGGTATAATCTGTATTGTCTACTTACACTGGTTCAGCTTGGCTCAATATAATTATACATATCTCATATCAGAGAGGCTGCTGGGGTAGCTGAAAATCACTGTAGTAGTTGGTGCTACTGTGCGACCATTCAGAAAGCACAATCTGTCTTGCATATGCATTCGGAGATCAGGCTTTGAAACAGCAGGACGTCACAGCCACCTTCCCATAATCAAGATGGCAGCACCAGGCACATGAAGACTGGTGAAAAACCAGCTCATGTGAAGACAGCTCTGGATCCCAGGTAAGTGTCTGTTTATTAAAAGTCAGCAACTACAGTATTTGTGGCTGTGGCTTTTATTTATTTAACAGGCTGTAGTTCCTCTTTAATGTGCACAGCTTGAGGATTAAGGTCAGCAAAGACTGCCTATAGTCTCTGATTCAACTTTGCCCCATGTTACAGGGGACTCTGATGGGGACTCTGATGTTAGGGGGTGATGGTGTCCCTGATGTATGGGGGGACTCTGATGGTTATGGTGTACCTGGTGTAAGCGGGACTCTGATGGGGATTTTGTAGGCCTACGAATATTTATAAAATATATGATGTGGCCCTTGTACTGGAAAGCTTGGAGGCCCCTGTTTTATTTAAAAAACTCATCAACAGATTGGGAACTTGCATAAAATGACACTGGGTACAGTCCAGAAATGTGTCTCAATCATGAATATTGTGTTTGGTATTTTGATCAAATTGTTTTAAATGGTATGGCTTGCCTGGGAAAATCATTGTTTTACTTAACTACACATGCTTCTAAGAAACTTGAAAGAATATATTCAGTTTTATGTGATTGTGTATCTTTGGTTAAGGAAATAAAGATACTGCTTGTGATTTACTGTGCTTACTGCTGTATAGAAAGAATGGATATCATGGGGCTCATTTTCAGGTAGATGGAGAATCCATGGTCTATGCCTTCCAGCCAGGATAATTCTCTCATGATACAGTGTCAGAATCTTCTCTTTAAGGATGGTTTCTGTTTTTCCAAACCAATATTAACACAGTCCTTCCTTACTAACTGCCACCCTTACGCCTACTGCACATTTGCCTTATTCTGGATCAACTGTGGGTATAGGATTATAACTTTTTTTTTTTAATGGTTGAACTGGATGGACTTTTGTCTTTTTTTCAGCCAGACTAACTATGTAACTATGTAACATTTACCTCCACTGCAAGGCCTTGGCCTTGACCAGTGTTTACATTCTCTGTGATAGAATTTTCTTCATTGTTGGCCATTCCTGCACACTTAAGCCTTATTGACTTGAGTGGGGCCATATAATAAGACTGGAGCCCCTCAGTAAATGGCACAATGGGGCATCAGTGACTTAGGATGTTACATTGCTAAGGATGTAAACACTGGACCAGGTGATTCTTCAGAAGCTCAGATAAGTAACCCCCCTGGCTTAAGCAACATAGCGTGGGGGTTGCTGCAGCTTACCTTAGGTGGGCTGGGAGGTAGTACATAACGTCCATTTTCAAAAACATAAACTTGTCCTTTAAGTATCTCTTTTTTTAAGTTTTTAAAATATCATAGAAGATTTAACATGGTAAAATCATTTCAAAAGTAATTTTTAAAACTTTAAATCCGCAGCTTTCAGGAAAAAATATATCCAGTGATTCAGTAGGGGAGAATTGGAAGCCCTGTCAGTCTTGCTGTATCCCTGCTGGGCAGAGTCACTCTGCCTATATATGGTCATTGGGAAGTGAAAATAAAATATTTTGAGTTGCTACTGAAACAGGAATAGAAGAGAAGTCTTCCAAAGGGGACATTTGTTGAGGGGACCACTTTCTAAGAGAAAATTTCTCTAACTTGGTGAGATTTCTTCGTATTACCTGTTGTATCAACAGGATAGGAAGAAAAAGCAAAAGGAAATCTCCCAACTGGAACACGAATGGCAAAAAGACATAACATGGGTTTAACTCCCTTTGTTTTCTAAAATATAATTTGAAAATAGCTATATATATTTACATTTTGAGTTTTGATTTAAATTGTAGCTGTCATTTATAGTAGTAAAAGTGGATACTGCATTGGTTATTCAAATAAAAAATCATTTTTTGAGGTGACTTTCTACAGTAGTGGGGTAAAATCGATGTTTGTTTTTGACTATGAGAATATTCAAGGGGCAGGATGGAAATTTTTTCTTGAATGGTTGAATTTCAAACAGTGAATGTGGTATTCGTTCAGGAAATTGCAGTCATTCCAAAATTGAATGTTAAAAGCAAAGTAAATTTTGCAGCACTTTCGAATGACATGCCTCACGTCATCAAATGTATTGATGAAAGTGTTTTGTATAAATGTTCACGTGAATATTTATTCGAATTTCTACCAATGTATGGCCAGTCTTAGTTTTCATGATAATACTAGGAGGTTAGGATAAGGGAGAGTCAGCTCTTTGGAAACGAAAGTTAAAGAGATTCTGTTGCTAGACTATTCATGCGAGCAGAAATCTTTCCATAATATTCTATGTGCATTTAAATTATTTTATGAATTTTTTTTTTTTTTTACATGTAAAAGCCTCCCTCGTGTGATCATCCAAATGCCAGAGACTGCTGCTGGCACTGTCACACAGGTGACACTAAAGGAGCCCTTCTAAACCTTTTTTTACTTTGGAGGAACTGTTAAAATATTTTTCTGGTCTCAGGGAAGCCCTGCTAAATACTATAATACCTACAGATCATGGTACGTTAACACGGTCCATTAGTTGTAAAGTTTTAACTTAAAGTGATGTTCAAGTCAAGCCTCATATTTGTTCAAATAAAAAAGAGGGTTATAATTACCTGCTCTGTGCAGTAGTATTGCAGTAGTATTGCACAAAGCTGTCCCTTATCGGTGTCCTTTTCTTTGAGCAGGGACTCAAGACGAACGCAAGGTGGTTCTCTCGTTCTGGGAGGACGTAATATGATGTCCTCCCCCATTCTAACCGCGCATGCGCTGCTCCCGGAGCGCGCAGTGCGGCGATCGGCGGTGCGCTGTGTCCCTTGGACACAGCGGATCACTGATCCACGGAAAGAGCTGAAAATGTCAGCTCGGTCATGTGATCAGCTGTGTCCAATCACAGCTAATCACATGTAAACAGGGAAATGCCGGTTATCGGCAGTTCTCTCTCCCCACGAGCTGTCACGCTGACAGCTCGTGAGGAGAGGAGAACCGATAATCAGCATTCCTCGGAGGGGATATGTACACAGATCATCAGAGCACTGATGATCAGTGTGCCCTGATGATCTGTGTAGCCCCAGCAGCACCACCTGCTAGTGCCCATCAGTGCCACATCAATGCCACATATCAGTGCCCATCTGAGCTGCCTTTCAGTGTCACCCATCAGTGCCAGTCAGTGCCACCTATCAGTGCTGCCAATCAGTGCCACCTATCACTGACAGTCAGTGCCGCCTATCAGTGTGCATCAGTGCCCCGCCTATCACTGCCCATCAGTGTTGCCTATCAGTTACAGTCAGTGCCGCCTATCAGTGCGCATCAGTGCCATCTATCAGTGCCCGTCAGTGCTGCCTATCAGTGCCGCCTAACAGTGACAGTCAGTGCTGCCTATCAGTGTGCATCAGTGCCGCCTAACAGTGCTAGTCAGTGCCTCATTAGCACACATCAGTGAAGGAGAAAAATCACTTATTTACAAAATTTTATAACAAAAACTAAGAAAAAACTTTTTATTTTCAAAATTTTCAGTGGTTTTTGGTTTGTTTAAGAAAAAATAAAAAACCCAGAGTTGATTAAATACCACCAAAAGAAAGCTCTATCTGTCTCAAAAAAATGATAAAAATGTCATATGGGTACAGTGTTGCATGACTGCGCAATTGTCATTAAAAGTGCAACAGCGCTGAAAGCTGGAAATTGGTCTGGGCAGGAAGGGGGTATAAGTGCCCTGTAGGCTAGCGGTTACATGTATGTCTAGATAATGTAAGGAGATGATCGTTGCAAATTTGAAAAGTTTACCTTTTATTTCTGTAAAAAGTCAAAACAGTACAGTGTTCAGCCCAAGCAATGCCAAGGCAACGGTCATGTGATGTCCCTAATAGGTACACATGAACAAACCTGTTAATGGAAATGTAATGATTATCCTTACTATGTTTACTAATCATGGAGATTCATGTCATGCCAACATCTCCTATTGCACCATGTAGAACTGTTAATAAACTGCTTCAATGTTACATCATTAAACCAAAGCCATATGTTCAGTCACTGTAAGCAAAAAATAAATAAATAAAGGGATAGGGGGTTCTAAGGCAAGCAAAAACTAAATATTTAAATAAAGGGATAGGGGGTTCCAAGTAATTTTCTTGCAAAAAAAATGCAGATTTTTACATGTATGTTAGAAGTTTTGTGGTTACATATACTTATTTAAATAATACTCCAAAGACATGCTGGTAGGTTAATTGGCTCCTGCCTAAATTGGCCCTTATTCTGCTTTACCTTCCCTAGGTCCCTAGGTAGGTAGCTATGATCTTCCCACAGCCATACTGCAGTCTTTTTGGTTTTAAAGGACAGCTATGTTCATTACAAATATGCAGTTTCTGGATGCAGGGGGCTGCTAATCCAGCACTGTAGATGGTCCCTTGACAGCCAGTCCCCTACATTCCAGTTACAGTAGTGTCACTTCTGGATTCTTAGAGGACCCTGCTGCTGAACAGCCAATAGGAAGTGGCCATGTCACACAGGCAGTGACGTGGACACCCAAAGAAGGAGCCCACCTGTGTAATCAAAGGAAGACAGAAGATTTGGGACTGCAGGATTACATGATTGTGGGTAAAACCTCAGTGATGGAGCATTTGCCTTTAGTAAATGTAAACCCATAACAGTAAACTTCTCATTTGCTCCCTTTTGGTCTGTTTATTATACCACTTAAGCATTCTGCTATATATGTCCAATAAGTGCAAAAAAAATACCTGTTGATTCTACTTGTGCACAAGGAAGTGTTATGGAGATAAGGAGAGGTTAGTGTTCTTTGTGATCCATCATAAATGAGGTTGGTAGGGCTGACACCACAGGAATTGTCGTGTCAAAGAAGGTATATTTCTGGCACATCCATGGTTTTTTTTCTGTACTAACAGCATGTTAGAAGGCTAAAACATGGGGAAATGCATGTGTTCTAGAGATGTTCTAAATTTTTTTTTTTGCCTTTAAATACCTGACATGACAAACTGTATTTTTTTCCCATTTGGACAGATGTTAATGGCAATCATCCCTCAGAAAGTTTGGATCTGAAGTTTCTGTGCCTACAAATGGTCCTACACAGGGAACATGTTACTCTTACTTGCTATCTGTTTTTTGTTGTTTTTTTTGGTGTGTATCTTTTTTATCATAATTCAGGTAGCATCCTAGAGACAGTACATAGCACTGAAAATGACAAATAAGAACACCGTTAGGAAGCTGTGCACTGCTTGAGATGTGATGACTAAGGCTCAGTGTGTTTGCATTGCATCAGTAAAGAGGATTCGGAGCACTTTAGACTTGCTGCCAAATGATGTAGAGGTAAAATAAACATACATTATGGAAGTCCATGAACATAACTTCAAGTGGTATTAAACCCAAAAGCAAACATGTAGTCTGTTGCGGCTTACCAATCCTTAGATGTGATGGCTACATTATTTTTCATTTTTAGGCTTTCTTCCTTCTATTTTCACCTAGTGATCCAGATAGTCTGTTGTTTTTTCAAAAGTCTGTTGTTTTTCAAAAGAACAAGCTCTCTTGCAGATGTATCAGTTACAGGAATGAGACAACCCATTTACCACAGACAGATGTGCTTACAATGATCAGCTTTTATTTCTGTAAAACCTTTATCCCAAAAGGAACAAAACTGTTGCTGTAACTGCTTATGAAGTATTAGCTGGAGTTTGGCTTCAATTTTCTAGTGTATTTAAATCTGTTAGTATATCTAACACTTCCCTTCTCCCAGACTGACAATGCTACTGTCCAAATGTGCCCCTTGTGCTATTTCATCCTGAGTGTAGGCACTCTAATACAAGAGGTGTGTTAGTGGACAGATCACCGGGTGAAAACCGAGGGGGAAAGCCTAACGACAGAAAACTAATCCAGCCACCACATCTAATGATTAGTATACTGAAATATATTACATTTTTGGTTTTGGGTTTAATACTGCTAACCATACACTAGCTGAAAAAACGTTCAAACTCATTTTGAATAACGAACACTCGGTCGTGAGAGCAAATGATAGTGCCATCACGCAATGGCCAAATTTTGATCGATAAATCGTTCAGTGGACATAAATGAATCAGTTTTTCATTCATTTTGTCACAAACAAATGGTCCAAATGATGGATTGTACAAGTGTATGAGGAACATTAGTTTCTGCTCACTAGGGATTACACTTTAGCGAGTTATACATTTTGTGAAAGGTACAAATCACAAAAATGGCTATTTCAGGCCTCAAACATATGGGCCGAAAAAAAAAAACACACTTTTTTGAGCAGCATTAAGGGTATTAAAATGCCCCATGGCTGTGTCCAGAGAGGAGCTTATTGGCGTCATTTAGACACAAATGTGGGCAAGCGCATAGATGCATGTAAATGATGTAGTGTCTAAATGAAATGAGTTTATACATATACTGTACCTTTCCAAATCCCATATGCCTGGAAACATACTCAATTATGTACCAAAATGAGCTTTCTTATGCTGTATTTTTCTGCCAACTCCTGGCAGAAAGATTCATGTCTATAAACCTTTTAATTTACATTTCAAGAAAAAAGTTTAAATTAAATTTCAAAAGCCCATATCTTTTAAAATACAGGGTGTCCCACAAGTTTCCATACATAGGAAGAATGAACAAACTCATATTATATTTTATATATATAATGAATATTTTGTAAATAAAGGTACATTTTTCTACAATTTCCCTATATATATGGTGACTTTTGAGACACTCTGCAGTAATAAGTGAGCTGGCAAGATAGGATAATGCATTTTTTTAGATAGCAATATATAATGGCAGGAAAAGTCAGTGGGTGTCTACTGTAAACATACTATTTATACGTTGGTTCCTGTGCCATTCCTGTTTTCTTTTTGTGCTAATGTACAGGATGTTACATGTGCCACCAGCAGACTTCCTATTTTACAGAACGTAAAATAGATTATTGCCCCATATGCACGATCAGAAAATCGGATGACAAAAATCGTTTTTGGAGGGATCATATGAAAATCTCATTGTTAGTACACAGCTTTCAACAACCGATCACGACAGTTCGTGCAGCAATATCCAAAGGAACAACTACAACATTTTTTCTCGTACGATAACAGCGCAAACGATTTTTGGTCAGTACAGTATTCATCCAAAAAAAAAGAGAAAAAGAGACCAAGATGACGCATGCTCAGAAATGAAAGAATACAATACATTACATCACTTCCGAAGTTGTATTCTGTCGTACGAGAATTTTTATAATTATTATTATTATAAAGGATTTATATAGCGCCAACAGTTTGCTCAGAGCTTGAACTTTATAACTTTAGTAACCTCTTCATTTTCAATATGACACTAGCATGCTACATAAAATGAACGACAAGTCATCCTATTATCTGATTGTGTGTACTAGGCATAATTTTTTTTTTTTGCACTCAACCAGCGGGTTGACCAAAAAAACTGCTTCCCCTATCCACATATTCGATGTGGATGGGGGAATCCTCCTGCTGTGTTTTGTATTCTGACAGCGGAGAGACTTCCCCATCATCAGAATACACTGATCAGCGCTGCTGGCTATAGCACAAATTTGAAAGGGCAGTTGTACAGAAGTCGATCGGTAGAAAAAAAGATGAACTCATGTAGTGTATAATTTTAGACAAACTAATATTGATGTATGTATGGTTGAAAAATAGATAAATGATGTGAAAAAATAAAAAACAACCCCCACACACACACCAAACAGAACATATAGAAGGAGTCAGTGCCTATGCAGTCAAATCTGATTTTTGTGATTTACACCTCCAGGGAAATAAAGATGAGCCCCTACTTTCTCTTCAGAAATAAGGAACGCTGTATGCTAAATTTGCAACAAAGTACTGCAGAAACAGACTGTAAGTTCATGTTCTCATTAAACTCCTATATTTCATCTTCCTTGGCTGAATCTCCATTGGTTTAATTGATCTAGGCAGTCTAGGTAGATCATATGAATTTTTTCAAGTCATGTTTCATTTAAAAAACAGTTTTCATATTTTGTTTTCATTGGTAAAAAGTAGAGTAACTAATGAGCAAGATTCCAGGTATGACGAGAATCCCCAGGCTGAAGAACAAGAACTTGAAATCAAGTATTTATATATTATTTATTTATCTAGCAGTTTAATTGCTCATCCAAAGAACATCTATTGCTGTATATTGCACATCTTATACATAATGCCATGCATATGCAGATCATTTGCAGAAACACACAAAAAATATATCCTCAGATATATATATATATCAATATATATATATATACACAGGCTG